AGCAGGAGGGCGGTGCGGCGCGCACGTCCTGGGCTGTTCGTGGCTCGGGGAGAGGAGCGTGTTCTTGGTGCTTACACAGAGAACAGCCGAGAGCTTAGCCGGGCCAGATTCCTTCTGGAACAGTGCGGCTGAAATGGACGAGCCTGGCTCTCGTGATGCCTGCCTCCCAGCTCAGCGCACCGAGATGAGGGGAGCAGAAACATCTCCAGCATGTAGGGACCGACTGCAAAATCTACCAGGTGGCTCGGGGAGAGGAGCGTGTTCTTGGTGCTTACACAGAGAACAGCCGAGAGCTTAGCCGGGCCAGATTCCTTCTGGAACAGTGCGGCTGAAATGGACGAGCCTGGCTCTCGTGATGCCTGCCTCCCAGCTCAGCGCACCGAGATGAGGGGAGCAGAAACATCTCCAGCATGTAGGGACCGACTGCAAAATCTACCAGGTGGCGCAGGGGGGCAGGAATAGCCCCTAGGTCCAGGCCCAGCGGGAGGGTCGGATCTTGCCAGGTGAGCCCGTCTTCCCGGAGATAAGGGCACGTGGAACCGGGACGGTTTCCTTCAGCAGCTGCCACGGCACCTCGCAGACTCACCATTTCGATTTTGTAAAGATAAAAAGGCTTTGCTGCTTCCTGACGGCGCTGGGTCCGGCCGCGAGGGCGGGGACTGGACTCGATGCCTCTCGAGGTTCCTTCCCGCTCTAGTGTTCTAGGATTCTCTGACTAAATACAGAAGGGGTGGGATTCTCTCTTGTCCTGTGCTGCATTTACACCCGTGCAATGGGAGTGCAACACCCAGCCATTCTGTTTGGGAACACTGTACACCCCTTGGCTCCGTGTGAACAGGGGCACGAGTCAGAGGGTGTGACGTAGTGGGGGTACCTGGCTGGTTTCTATGCTGCTGGCTCTGGGGTAACCCCCACTGGCTGCCGTGGGTACCAGGACCCAGCAAAACAGGATGAGTCACTATGCAAACCAGTATGGCCAGACACCCCCCATGGAGAGGAACAAAGGAAGGTGGATGCTGCCCTGGCTGGGGGGCAGGGCTGGAAGAGAGTTAGTTAGTTGCTGGCTGGAAGCATGGAGGAGACAGCCTAGGGAAAGGGGCTGGAGTTTAGGGGCCCAGTCTCCCCCATCTCAAGGGGGCCTGAGGCATCCTAGCCCAGCTCTGTGACCAGATTCCATCTGTGCTGTGCTGTATCCTGGAGAGGCAATAAACTTCCTCTATTCCACCAGCTGGTGCAGTCTGTTTGTGCCATTTCGGGGTGCAGGAGACGGGGGACCCCCAACGTGCCGTCACAGAGGGTAACACCCAAGTGGGTACACACTCTCCGGACTGTAAATAGCTGTTAAATGGCAAGGTTGTTGGTGGTGTCTAACAACCGTCCTGCTGCAGTGCTGGGAAGGGAGGGGAGCCAGGAAGTGAAACTGGCCAGCAGAGATAGCGTGAATGATATCAATATCTGAGCAGAGATATCTGAGCAGAGATAGCGTGAATGATAGACAGGCACATGGGTTTCAGAGCAGGGTCAGGAGGTGGGAGCAGGTTCCACTATGCTCCACACTGCACAGTCCATGCAAATCAGGGGGGCAGTGCAAGGCAATAGGCAGCAGGTTTAAAACAAACAAAAGGAAGTTTTTCTTCGCCCAAGTCACAGTCAACACGTGGAACTCCTTGCCAGAGGATGTGGTGAAAACCAGAATTTTAACAGGGTTCAAAAAAGAACGTAGTAAATTCATGGCGGTTAGGTCCATCAGTGCTGATTAGTCAGGATGGGTAGAAAGGGTGTCCCACGCCTCAGTTTGTCAGAGGCTGGAAATGGGCGACAGAAGAGGGAACACTTGATGATTCTCTGCTCTGTTCACTCCCTCTGGGGCACCTGGCAGTGGCCGCTGTGGGCAGACAGGGCCCTGGGCTGGTCTGGCCCGTCTGGCCGCTCTGATGTTCACTCGCTGGCCTATGCCCCAGGTATCCCAAGGACGCCTCTCTGCCATGCAGTCTGACTGGCAGCTGGATTCCTGGGTGCAGGGTCCTGAAATCACGGCCCCAGGCACACAGCCAGCCTGGGCAAGGGCCCCGCACGCCGGCTCCCACCCAGGTTCGGAATTCTGCCTCTCCGCCTTGCTTTCCTGTGAGACGCCCGTACTGAGCATGCCCGAGCAAAGCCAGCTCGATGCAACCCGGGCATTCGAGCCAGCAACCGAGCGCAGGGGCGCAGCTGGGGGCCTGTTGTGCTTTTCCCTCTGCTGCTGCTGCTTAAATACTCCGCCTTTTGTCACAGCAGCTTGGCTCCCGGCTCCAGCCGGCCTGGCTGTACTTGGCGGCATCGGCTCGCACCCTGCGCCCTCAGGCCGGCCCCGCGGGGAAGGTCAGACAGAGGCGCACACGTAAGAGCCCCTTCTGCACGCTCCCGTTTCCAGGGGAAGGGAGGGGGCGCTAGGGCTGATGGGAAACTGGGTGACGGTTGTGACAACAGGCACTTTCTGCAGCAAACTATTCCAATTAAAATGTCTCCGGGGGGTGCAGTTCGGGGGGGCTGGGCTCCCAGGCTCCTCGAGGGCGAGGCCGGACTCCATCTCGCATGGCGCGTGGCCGCCAGGGAGTCCTGTTTGCCAACAGGTAGAAAGTGGTGCACCATGGGAAGTTCCTTGTGTGCCTCTTATGGCCTGCCAAGCTCTCCCGTAGGACTACATCTCCCAGGATGCTTTACGCTCTACCTGGTTGGTAAGAGGAGGAGAACATCAGGAGCCCCTGGCTGCAATGCATCATGGGAGATGCAGTCTGGCCAGAAAGCACAGCTGACGCAAAGAGAAGAATGGGAGCATAAGTACTCAGAACCACAACTCCCATGAGGCACTGCTTCCTCCGTGGGAATTAGAATAGTTTGGGGTTTGGCCAAAATGTTTCACCAAACATTCAGATTTGCCCTGCCCCCATTTTTTGACCAATTCTACTTTTCCGGGGGGGAGGGGAGTGAGGAAGAAGCTTCGTCCCTTGGGGAAAAGGCCTGGGCCGAAGGGACAGTTCCCAAAGCTCTGGGCTCTGTTTCCCACAAGCCGAGGCCGGCAGGAGGACGTGGGGCACCCTGCATGGCCAGTGCACCAGGCAGGGAGGCCAGGGGTGTCTGAGCCCTTCCTGCAGCTCTGGGGCAAGGGGGTTTCCAGCTGTCCCTGGCCTCCCCGCTGACCCTGAAGACTGAAATCCCAGGAGCGCTCCCAGTGCCCGAGGGGCCGAGCTCTTCTGGAAGTCCAGGCGATCGCTTTGGCGTGTAAATGGGAGCCGAGTTCTTCTGAAAGTCTGGCTCTGATTTGGAGCCCTGAGCCCTTTTGAAAATTCCGCTCCTAGAGGCCTGGGGTTTTTTACATGGGTCCATTCAGCCTTCCAGAAACACCAGGTGTCATTGCTAGAGCCCTGCAAATCCACCGGTATCTGCATCCGCCCATGTGAGTGCAGATAACCACGGGCCACTTTTGTCGATACGGATGCGGATACACATTTTGCATCTAGAACCCTGCAAATCTGCAGAAACTGGCTTTCTAGCCACAGGTCATTTTGGCAGATGCAGATACCCACTTTGTATCCGTGCAGGGCCCCCGCCATTGCAGGAACGTCCGTACCCGGGGGGAGACAGCATCTGGTTTTGCATCTGCACCTGAAAAGGCCTGAGCCTCAGGCTCATGGGGGACTCCCTGCGCCCCCTACGACAGCAGACTATTGGGGATGATGGATCCCGCATCTCCCACCCAGGAAGGCCAGGGATACGGCTCCATCTGCCTGGAGAGGGCAGATCTGGACCTGACAAAACAGACTCCTGAGCTCTGAAAGGCCCTTCGGTGCGGTGTCTGGGGTTCATTGAGAAGCCTCCGCCTGGTGCCCCCAGCCCGGCCCCCGGAAAGGATACGAAAATGTAATCGTCCATGAAGCGCTTTTTCAGGTTTTCCACGATCGCATCCTCGGAGATTTTGGAGAGAAGGACCATGTCGTCCACGCCGCTCTGCTTGACATTGTGGCTCTGCCAGTGAAACCGCTCCTTGCTGCCCTGGGGAGGGACGGGAGAGAGTCACCGCACGCAGCAGCGCCAGGGAAATGCTTTCGAGACTGCGGCGTGGTCCAACACACAGGGCTTGGGCCTGGAGGACAGGACCAGGCGGGGCTCTGAGCCATGCTCAGCCACCGACTCACCGTGTGACCGGTGTGCCTCAGTTTCCCCACATGAAGAATAATGTCCAGGCCCCTTTATAAGGTGCTTGCAGGTCCCAGGGGTTACCTCAGAGCCAAGTGTCATTATTATTTATGGAAAAACTTAAACAACCAATAGTCTGGTAGCACTTTAAAGACTAACAAAGCCTGGAGATGGGTTTGCCCACGGAAGCTCACGGTCCCACTTGGCACTAACTCACTCTGCCGCTATTAAAGGCCGGTGGCTCTGCTACTAGACGACAGTGAAGTCAATGGAGCCGGGCCAATCTACAAGAGCAGGGAATGTGACTCTCCATTGAAATCACCCCTCCCCCACCTGCCTGGCCCGGCTGGTGTGGCAAAGATCCGCCTGCCACTTGCGACTGTCAGCGTGCCGCGAGCAGCACCGGCGCGTGGACACAGCACGTTGGGGCCTGGCCCGGGGGCTCAGGGTTTGCCGCGCGCTGCAGCCTCTGCAATCCCAGAGCCAGGCTCCCTCCCACGGGGAGGCCCAGCTGCCCAAAGAGGAATCCAGGGGGAACAGACGTGTTCTAGGTTGGGTCCCCCCCAGAGCAGCCCAAAATCAGGAGGAAGCAAGCGGGGCATAGACCTTAGCTGGGCAAAACTCCAGGACAAAGTGTGAGCCGGAGCCCAGCCAAGCGGAGAGCTGGCCACGTGCACGGGGTGCCCGGCCGATTTCTGGGACAATCCCGGGAAACCCAGCCAGGTGGCAAGCGGCGACCCTGGCTTGGCCCACTTCCAGCCCGTGGTGCCGTGTCAAATCTCATCCCACTGACAATGCTACCGAAGACCAGTCTCCCAAACACAAATACTTCCCCGGAGAGCCCCGATGGCCTGCGTGTCCCACATCCTATGTCTGCACCAAGGGTGGAAACCGATCTCACCCCTCACCAAGGCAACCCAGCCACACTGCAACCGGCGAGTCCTGCCTCAGTTTCCCCTGATTGTCCCTGGGGCTGCCTGGGTTGTCCGCCAGCTCCCTGTGGCCCAGATCACCAGCCTTCTCAGTTGTTTGGGAAAGGAAATGTGTCCTCCTCCGAGTCCAGTGCACGGCCCACGTGGGGGCCTAGTTCATTCATGCAAAAGCGACAGGGAGTCCTGTGGCACCTTACAGACTCACAGACGTATTGGGGCGGAAGCCGTCATGGGCAAAGACCCACTTGTCAGATGCATCCGTTCGTCTCTAAGGTGCTACTGGACTCCTTGTCACTTCTGCAGATCCAGACTAACACGGCGACCGCTCTGATCCTGGTTCATTCATGGAACCCCAGGCGTCTGGAGCTCTATCAGAGTAGGACACTTCATCACCCCAACGCCGTCCTCCAGCCATGGGCCCTCTGCCGTTAGTCCAGGCCCCACTTGTGAATAGCGCCCCCCTTAACAGCATCCCTGCCTCGGACCCCTGGCCATCCACCGTGCCTTCTAGGATGCTCCCCTACGGCCCTGGCCCTGGGCTCCTCTGCGCTCACCCCGGCCCCACCACGGGCGTCCTTCCTGCAGGATCACCTGCATGCTGAGCCGGTTCTTTCCCTTCGGCCGGGGTCACTGCACAGCTCTTCCCCTGCACGGTCGCACCAGAGCCTCGTCCCACTCCCCCCCGGGGTTCCTTCCCCTCCTGTGTGAGGAAACCCGGCCTCACAGCGTGTGTGTGTGTGTGTGTGGGGAGGGGGGGGGTTGTCCACAGAACGCGCTCAGGGTGGAAGAGGACAATGGCCGGTTGTTCCCTGTGGCCAGGGGGCTGGACAATAGCTCCAAGAGAGGGTCTCCTCCTAGGAGATTAGCTGGGAAAGGTAACAACGTCAGTTTCAATAGCCACCTTGCTCATTACCTGGAGGCGAGTCAAGCGGACAGGAAAGAACCCCGGTTTTCACGGGGTGGGGGTGGCCCGGCCGCGGGGACTAGCGCCGCGCTCTGGAATCACACGGGGGTTGTGAGGCGTTTGGTGTGGGGCGGAAGCGCTAGAATACGACCCCTCATTCTGATCCCTGCTGCGGCGACTCCTCCTTTGGCTCCCTTTCCTGCCCCGTGCGCTGCCCTCGTGAATTTCACTGATTCACGCTCCCCCCAGCCCCTCTCCCAGGGACGTGCTGCCTGTTGCTGCTGCTCCAGGGTTTCCTTTGCTCACTTGCCGTGCGGCAGCGCATTTTCACTTCTCTCCTCGGCCAGTCGGCTCTTCCGCTTCCCCTTTTTCTTCTCTTCCTCTTTCGCTGTTTTCCTTTCCCGGGAGCCCTGGAGCTGGCTCGGGACGCCTGGTTTCAGATGGTTTCACAGATTTCCAGGACTCTGGCTCAAGCAGCCAGCCCCCCACCCCCCCGCTGATTGACACAAGAAATCAGAGCGGGCGTGTCCCGAACTCCAGCTGCCTTTGTCCCCTCCCGTGTGCCTTGCGGGGCCCTCTGGGGCAGCCGGCTCTCGCCAGACCAGTGGGCATCGGGCGTTCTCTGCAGAGGTCCACCCCTGGCCATTCCCGCACCTTCTCCCTTGCCTCGTCCGCCTTGTGGGCCAGCAGCCGCTGCTTGGCTGGAGGCAGCCAAGCCCACGAGCCCTTCGGTATTTAGGGAACTCCAGCGAGTAGCGACACAGGCGGGCGGCGCGCTGCCTGGGACTCCCGCATCGGCCTCTGGCAGAAGTTTCCATCCGATTCCTGTCTCGGTCCCAGCTTCCCAAGCACTTGGTGGCGCAGGCCCAGGGAACCGGAAGAGCCTGACGCTGTCGCTACATTCTTGTTGCTCTTCTCTGGACCTTCTCCAGTTTCTCCACATCTTTCTTGAAATGCGGTGCCCAGAACTGGACACAATACTCCAACTGAGGCCTAACCAGCGCAGAGTAGAGCGGAAGAATGCCTTCTCATGTCCTGCTCACAACACTGCTGTGAATGCATCTTTGAGGGGGTCGACTCACCACCGCAGCGCCACCAGCCGTCTGTCCTGGGGATTAGCGCTTTCTTGCGAGCTGGGTGCCTTCCCTCTGGTGGGGTCTCCCCTCTCTCTCCCGGATACGGCGTCCTCTTCGGGACAGCGTCCTTCAGCAGTGCCCACATCAGTCTCTGAGCCCCCTTCCGGGGGTGGTTGTTTACTCAGTGTGCCCTGTCTCAGGCCCTGCAGCCTGGGAGCTTGCTTGGCCCGCGCTCCCTAGCCCTGCCCGCCTTCCCCAGCGCTGCTTTAGCTCCAGGGAGCTTCCTGCTTCCCTGGCACCCAGGTCCCTACTGCCCTCTGCCCAGAGCAGCAGCCCAACCTCCCCTCTCTCCCGGAGTCCTTCCACACACAGCCCCCAGCTGGGCCCTAATCAGTGGGGCCTGCCTCAGCTGGGGCTTTACTCCCCCCTTGCTCAGGGCTGGGATTTGCCCTGAAAGGGCCAATGCAGGGCCAGCTCCCTGTCGCACACCCTCCCGCTCAAGTATTTCCCCTGAAGTCCTCAGAGTTTCCCTGCCAGTCAGGCCGTCTCTCAGCTGCCCTGCTCTGTGGCAATCCCGTAATAATCGCCCCGCCTGTGGCAGATGGGGTAGGAGGACCCGGACCCGCCCTCCCTCTCGGGTCCAGCCCAGGGCCCTAAGGCAGGGGCAGCTCAGTCCCTGTGTGGCTGGCGGGGGATCCGCCCCGCAACTCACCAGCCCGCGGGCGTTAGTGCCGCCCTGCCCTGGGCCACTTCCTACCCCTTCTCTCACTCCCTTCCTGCCGGGTTGGAGCTTCTGGAGCGTGCTCCGCTTTCTCCGCGCCTCCCCGGAACGCCTGTCCGTTCGCCTCCCTTCCCGAGCGACTTTTCCAGCCCCCGCCAGCTCTGTCCCTGCCCCTCGCGTCGTGCGGGGCGCTGTCGACATGGGCGACCCTGCCTTCCACGTCAGGCGAGCCGCCGTGTATCTGCTCACCCCACCCCCTTCCAGCCGTCTCGCGACCGCCGAGCAGGCAGCGCAATGGGTCCAGCGCGCCTCCCGCCAGGCGTACCAGGGCGCAGGGGTTCTGCGGGCCCCGAGATCACCGGAGCCTCGTCCCAGTGCAACAGGCAGAACCTTCTAGGGGGCTGGCCGAGACGGTGGAATAAACTCTCCCCCAGCCCAAGGCCCTCCCCAGCTCCCGGATCGTTGACCGGGCCCTCTCCAACCTGACCGCATAGCAGCATGGACACCAGCAATAGCACCCCAGTGACCCCGCCAAGCCCCTGGGGAGAGGCCGAGAGAGCACAGCCAACCATGCGGCACACGCTGGTCACACCCTTGGGAGTGGCCAGGCGGGGTCAGACCCAAGGCCCGTCCAGCCCCGGGTCCGGTCGGCTGGCAGCGGCCAACGCCAGGCGCCCCAGAGGGAGGGAACAGAACCGGGAATCTGTACGTGACCCCTCCTCTGTCGCCCATTCCCAGCCCCTGACAATCAGAGGCCAGGGACCCTCCCTGCCAGCCTGGCTCACAGCCATCGGTGGACCCAGCCTCCAGGACCGTGTCCAGCGCTTCCCTGAACCCTGTTTAATTACTTAACGTGAGACTGGAGCTCAGCTCCTGCGGCGAGGAACATGGCGAAAGACCCGCCCTGGGATAGGGAGGCTGCCAAGGCCCCCAGGGGACACGCAGGCCACAATAGGCGACCTCCAGGGCCCTGCTCAGCCCTCCCGTAGAGCACTGACCTCCCTGAGTAGCCACGGGACCCCAGCCACCTCCCTGACTAGCCACGGGGCCCCAGCCTCCTCCCTCACTAGCCACAGGACCCAGCCACCTCCCTCACTAGCCACGGGACCCCAGTCTCCTCCCTGAGTAGCCACGGGACCCCAGCCACCTCCCTGACTAGCCACGGGGCCCCAGTCTCCTCCCTCACTAGCCACAGGACCCAGCCACCTCCCTCACTAGCCACG